ATATTTATTGGTATTATCCTTTCCTTTTGTTTTATAACCATTAGAAAATATTCATTAATTAAATGTGAAATTTATTTAAATTTACAACATTACTTTATTTATTAGCAAAAAGTTTTTCCGCTGAGATTATTATCCAACAAATTATATAAGAAAGATTGAAATAAAATTTCTAAAAATATACGCAAAGAATCTGTAATAAAAAAAAAGAAAAACGAAAGAAATATATTTATAAACACAAAGAAATTTATCAAAATTTGAAAAATTTAGGTGATATGAAAAATGAAATTTTAAAATTTTGCTGTTTTTTTTTGACAAGCGTGTCATTATTTGCAAGATGAAAAATGGACAATTTATAGTATTTATTCGAAGATTTCAATTATTTTTTAAGATAATTGTATGCATAACAAATGTGTTATGCACGAAATACCTGTAATTAATCAACTGAAATGCTATGACAAAGGTATTGCTAACATTTAGAGCAATCTTTTTTTTTTTTTTTAAATTTACTAAACAAAAGGAATAAGCAAATTGTTTCAGTAATAAATTCTACCGAAAGAATAAAAATTAAGACTTAAAATTAATAAATTAATAAATTGATGAATTCTCGTAAGTTAATAAATCTTTGCAACTAATGAATTTGAAATCAATAAACTTTTTGCTAATTGAATCGAATTTGAAATTTCATTTTTTGTCGTTTTTTTTGTAAATTAGGTTATTATGAAAGGAAGTTTACAATAAGTGGAAAATTTTAAGTCATTATGATTAATTTTTTAATTATAATGGTCTTTCTTTCCTGCTGTTACACTGGAAAAGATTTTTTTTTTCCAACCTTTTTTACTTAAATAATCAAAAAATTTAAGGTATTAGTACATCACCAAAGATTTTATAACTCTCTGTGATTGAAATTAGTACTTTTCAGGAATTTTGAAAAGTTTTCCTGAACAATATTCGTTTCATATTAATTTATTTTCACAAAATTTTTGTTTCTATTTTTAGTTTCGGTTTATGTTCTTTTAATTTAATACAAATAATTTGAGTGATATGGCGTAAATCGTTTTCTTTTTTAAATGTTTTCTTCAGGATTTCAATTTTTTTGTTGATTATTTAACAAATTAAAATTGATTTCATCTAATTTTTTGCATATTTCCTGCATAATATTTTCAATGCTATTTTTTAAACTACTTTTTTTACATTTTTTTTCTTTTTTGTATTTTTGTTATATTTTGCAAGGCGAATAATTGGACAACCATATTGTTTTAACTATTTTATTTTTTTTCTTTAAAACAATGATAAATTTTGTTTTATTATCACAAGCCAATAATTTTATTAAAAAATTTTTTCTTTCATTAAATTTCAGTTCGCATTGAAGCAACGAATTGATCTCAAAGAAGAACCATTTGGTGATAAAGAAAAAATGATGGTTGATTGAATCAAAATTTCATTGTTCATTTCATTGTTCATTTTGCTTTTTTTTTTTGTTTATTTTTATACCAATGTTGCAAATGATTTATCTTTTATAAAGAGACCACGGAGGGGTTGAAGTAAAAACAGGAGGAGATAATAATATGCATATTTTTTATTGAAGTAAAAATAATTTTTGAAATTTTATGAAAATTTAATAAAAAATCAACAACTTTTATCATATGAATTTTACGAAACATTGATTTCTTTTTTTTTCCACTGCATATATACGAAAATTAATTTATGAATTTTTGATATACCCAAAGTCGAATTTATAATCTATTTGATGGAATCATTTGAATATTTTAGTGATCAAACGAAGCTTTACGATGCTAATAATTATCGATAATTATCGAGTGATTCAGTATAGTTAACTGTCAAGTTATCAGGGCATTTGATTTTTGCTGATAAATGCAGAAATTATCCCTTCAAAATTTTGTATTTGTATTCTTTTCTTAATTGTCAATGGGATTAGAAAAAGAAAAGGAATAGGAATTTCAAAATTTACAATAAAAGAAAATGATGAAAAATATGAAAAGACATGGATATTGGAATATGATAACTTAAAAAGAAAAGATTACATTTAAAATGCAACAGATGAAATATTCTAATAATTTTTACTTTTCCAATATGTAAACATATTCGTATAACTTTCTTCCTCAAATTCTTCATTCAATTATTCATTGTATCATAAGTAATAATCATCAATAGATCAAACAAATTTGCATAAATGAAAAAGAAAAGAGCCACTTTATAATGAACTGAAATAAAATCAATTTCAGTTTTCTTCATGTTAATATAATTAACAAATAATAATTTTTTATTCCACTCCAAGGAATTTTAAAATTAACATCGATATTCGTTCATTATAGTTGTTAGTGATATCCGTATCATTATCATCTACATGGTATTTTCTTCCTCATTTTGAAGTTGATCAAATTGAACAATTCGTTGATTGAACTTAAACATAGCCGTCGTTTTCTTCTCCATAATTGTATCCTAGCGACTATACTTAACACTATGACGAACACTAAACAGATTTTACCGAAGGCATTAATTACGCTTATCGATTGTGATGATGGCACTGATAACATTGCAAAAAGGGTGATAAGCTTCTTTTTTTTCTTTTTCTTCGTTTATTTAACACTTTCATAAACGAAAGGATTTCTAAATTAGCAGGGGAATTTCAAACTTGTAAATTACATATAGTAATTGTAACATAATGGGCATAGAATAGGAATACTTATTGGCAGTAATTATGGATGAGTTGAGATAGAACAGAATAGAAATAGAAAATTTCTTGAATGTTAACTGTATTGTAAAGTATCGTATAAAATGTAATGCAATATTATATATAACAATAAACGGATAACATTAAAGTTTTCAATTATTGTTCCACTACAATTCACATCATAATGATTATTATTAGGTTAATCAGAAATGAACATATTTGAATGAGACGTTAGAAACATTAAAACATTCACTAAGTCTTATATTTCGATTAAGCTATGTAATGTGACACTTGGCAAGGAGAAAGTAACATGATAATAGTTTGATTTTTTATGTTATGATTTCTTTTCACGATTTTCTGTTGGGAAGCTAATTTGTCGATTTCACATTTCAGCGACATAGATTTATGGATGTAATATTCTTCTTGCACAATATTGTTAGCGACGAAAAAAAAAAACAAAACGAAAAGTATTATAATATGTAAAGTACGAGGTAAATTGGTAAAAAATGATAAATGAGTTATACACAACGAACAAGTAATATAACCAATTGACAATCTCCTTGCTTTGTTTTCGATAGCCGGTTGGTTAATAGGTCGTTGAGTTGGAGATATGCTACAGGAAATGTATTCGGCAAACAAAAAGAATATCGTAGTTTGCTGTTCAGTTTTGGCGGATATGCAAAGATGTCGTTGTGTTTCAATCGTGCGAAGATGTATTTCTGCTTAATTGTGAAAAACTGAGTTGTTCCGGAGTTTTATAAGCTCCATCAGGATTATCATGGAAATAAGCTGCCCTTCAGCATTGTCCATTGTATAGGTTACAATGCATATCATTGTCCATGGCGTAGATAATGAGATATCCTTGTGTTATACTGTTCATTGTTAGCTTATATCCTCCTCATTGCTTCAATTAATAAGATTTCATCACGCTGTTTGTTAGATATTATAGAAATTTTATTTGAACATAGCTTTAATTCCGGTAATCCGACATTTTCTGTTGCACATTTGGAACTGTTATTAAATGCTGATCAACTGTTTAGCACCAATTATATGAGTTCGTAGTTAAATGGATTATCAAATATTCTAATCAAGTGAAACGATTAAAGTGGTCTATCAAATATTCTGATCAAGTGAAACGACGCTTGCAAATGACATAATTGAAATGCTTGATATCTTCAGTTCAATATTGCATATGAAATGTTGAAAAAAATGGATAGGTAATCCTACAAAATGATAGGAGATTTCAAATCAAGAGAAGCCTTTCCGTTTCCAAAAATCTTCCATGTTGTTTGTGCAATAACTGAGTGAGAAATTCATTCGAGACAATTTCATTTCATTAGTAATTTAATAGTAGTGACACTTAATTGCAGGTTCTTCATGCATGGCATTCAAATTACTTGCTTGCCATGCACATATTAATAGTGAAAAGGTTGTTCAGTAAGGTGCAGGTAGACATGAAACGGGGAATTCTATTTGTTAAGATAAAAGAAATAATAAAGAAATAGTAGAGGGAACGATAATAATACGCATATAAAGCAATGACAACAATACAAGGAAAAATAAATTTATCTTACAGAAATAACAACACCAGAAATAGCAATGGAAATACATTTTGGTTTAAAATGCGTCTATCAGCCCATCATGTGATTCTTCATGTCAAATAGCGTTTCCCCAAGAATGTTATGAAGCATACAGTGCAGTTGAATTTGGGCCTATCATTGTTCATGAATCTTCATGTGACGTTTCATATTGTGTGCTCGGGTGAAATTTTTCCCGCACGCAACAAGCGAACAAACGTACGGTTTTTCATTGTATGAGACTATATATGTCCAAGCAGATTCCCTCTCTGATTGAAACCCCTCCTGCATTTCGGACAAGAGAAGGGCTTATCACCGGTACGAATCATTACATGTCTATGCAGAACCCATGACCTAGCGAAGCCTATCGTGCATGTTTCGCATTTAAACCGCTTTTCACCTGTGTGAGTCGAACGCTCTGGATGTTTCTTTCTGGTGCTACCTTTGTTTCCTTTGGACTGTTTCCTTCTGATTGTTTGGATGTTGGACGTTTCATTTTGATACTTCTTAAGCCAGATTTTCTTTTGATTTATTCCTGTACCTGTTTGTTCCCTACTCACTTCTTGAATCGGTGGGTTCAATGAAATTGCGCCATTTTGATCAATTTCGTTGAGTTCTAATTGTCTCTCGATCACTGATAGAGCTGATGGTCCAATCCGTCCTTCAGTCATTCTTGACATTGACAAATCTAACGATTCTGTTTGCAGCTCCACAAATTTATGAATTCCCATATATGGTCTTGATATTGACAAATCCAAACGGTTCTGTTTTGCGGCTCCTCAAATTTTATGAAGCCGTCAATTTCAAACTGTGCTGAAGGTTTGAAACCTCAGAAATTTTGCAGTGCTATCTTATATTTTTAACTTTAAATGTAACTTACGAATGGTTTGAGTGTAGCTCAGTTGGATGAGGAAGAAAATGAAGCAGATGAAA